AAAAAAAATCATGGGCAACAAAGGCAAGTCCACCAGCGACCGCATCAAGCGAGCGAGACAGCACGCCGCGGACGCCACGGGACTCGCGGAAAAGAAGCAGCAGGAGATCGACCAACTACGGCGCCAGCTCGCCGCCTTTACCTCCAAGGCGTCGCAAACCTCGGCTACTCCCCCTCAACGTGGCACACCCGCGAGGCGGACCCCGGCTCCCCGTCCAGGTCGGGAACAACAGCCCGACCAGGAGGAAAAAGGGGACACGCCTGACGGGAGCAACGAGAACAGCGACGGTCATGTTACTAAACGAATTACGAGTTTTCCTTGTTGAACTGCGATGATGATAGTTTGAGGTTGAAGAAGATGTTGGTACCATTTTTTTTCTGAACCCGTACACGGGGACAAATATAACCCGTCCCCGTGTTTTTTCGGCGTTTTTCGGCTGAAAATATGCCTCAATTTAATTTGCACCATAAAACCACAGGCAACAGCACTTTTTTGTTGTTGTTCGGGTTGTGTTCAACACGGTTGGAATAGGCGGTGTGAAAAAATTTGGGAGTATTAGTGGCCATTGAGCCACTTTTTTTCGTGTACGACCGATTTTTTGCCCGATGTTCGGTGCAAAATCGGGGAAGAACAGCAAGAAAAATGAAGCGCACGGCAGAAAAAAGATAACGGCCGCGCGGGACTAAACTCACGATCTACACAACACAAAGGGGGTAGCCAACTACTGCAATTTCAAAGAAATCAAAGATGTGGTACAAGAGTTTTTTGCCCTTCTGAATATGGATTCTTAGCAGAAAGTTTATCAAGTTGATTGATATATATCAAATGAAATGCTGATTTTCAAACTTTGGCTCAAACGAAGCCCAAGAGTCTGGTCAACGCGATGAATAATTTTTTAGGGTAACATTTACTTTGCCCTCCCCATATCGCTAGTGGGGCTTATCCGGCTCTGGGGCTTAATAGGTACATCTACTCTGTGCCTCCTGCCCCCGTCCGTCCCTCCTGAAACTTTGGTATCAAACCCTCTGTCAGTTTTCGGGAAAGCAGAGAGCTGAAGAGGGTTCGGAAAGAAGGCTTAACAAGGGCCCAAGGCCCTCTGAGGAGGCACGCAGATGGCACCTTGCATCCCGCCAGATAGTTGTGCTCACCGAAGGGATATCCCTTTGGTGCTCAGGGCTGGCTCTTGTGATTCCTACGCACATCCACCTTCTGCCCCACAAGCTTCCAGTCTTACCCAACAAGAGGAGGTCTGGGACAGGATCAAACAACAAACAAGGGGGGAGTTACCGGAACTCTGGGTTCAAAGGCTTTGAGTGGTGGCATTGAAAACGAGAGGAGCATGATAGTGCAAGCGAGACACCACACTAAATAGCCCCCTGCGACCCGTTTTATTCCTCCGTCGGTGAGTTCCCGATTTGTTTCGTGGCACCGTGGGTTTTCTTGCCTTTTGGTGCTATGGTACACATCCTTTTCGTCCGAGGCGTGCTCAGGTGTACATTCCATTTGGAAAGGATGCCGCGGCCAACACTACTACTATGTATTTTCCCTTCCAATTACCTACATGCGCTCTGTGTGAGCGTTTGCTTACGCTATCCGTGTCCCCGCTGTCTTTTTTATTTTTTCAAATCTGAAGATATCCCCGTGCGTTTGGTCCACGGGTAGATACCTACGTGGGAAGCGTATGCTGCAAGACGGTCTATCTACCATTCCGAACAAGAGCTTCTCTCACACAGTTCATCGAAATCCGAGCAACGTCGTCCATTGCACCATGCACAGCAGTGCACAGCTTTCAGACTGTAGCAGGGCGTCTTTAGCAAGTTCGGTGCACAACTTGTTACATGATCTACATATTTCTCCTGCATGCTGTGTATGATCGTGCTTATCCTGGCGATGGACAACCTCCAAGGTTAGTTCTTCGGCATTCGCTGCTTGCACGTGCATTCCTATAGAGAAAAAACGTGCTTGACCATCCTTACGAAGTCGTGGGGCAAGATGCTTGAGCCTGCTTGCAGCTTCTAGAACAATGTCCTCCCCACGGAGTTGGCAGGGTACATGTTCGAGAACGCAGCAGTACATTCGGCGATGAACACACATCGTCCCTCTCCTGTAAGCCGGTTTTCGCTTAGCCAAAGCTCCTTCAGCTTGGATAGAGCTCCCAGCTCCTTGGGTATTGGCCCTGCACAAAGCAGCACAGTACAAGAATATCGTGCGATGAAGCTTCTAGAACAACGTTGCTGCCAACGCATAGGTAGGACATATGTTCCAGAAGCGGACACAGCCCTAGACGTAAAGGAGACGTTATAATACCAAATTCAGAATCTCTCACCTGTAGTGTTGTTGTACAGTATGAGCTCCTTCAGCTCAGCGATGTCCCCCAGCTCCTTTGGTATCGGCCCTGTCCAGATCCGCACAGTGGTACAACCAAAAGTGAGAAAATACCGGATTAGGTTGTGATAAGATTCTAGAAGATCGGTCCTGCTCACGCGTTGGCGAGTAGCCTTCTACAATGCTGTAGAAAAAAATCAAAACAAGTAGGTTGCACTCCCTCACCGGTTAGATTTTTGGAATGGATTGACAGACGCTCCAGCTTGCTGAGAGCTCCCACCGCCGCGGGAATAGATCCTTCCAGGGGTACACAGCGGGTTAAGGGAGTTGGTTTGAAAACTTCAATAATTACCCTGGCTTAGAAGCCACCTACTCACCCATGCATCGGCGGGATTTAATCTGAAACGTGCATAAAATGTGTTCTCACCAGGAAGTTTGTTGCTCTGAAGGTTGAGCCACCGCAGTACTGCTAGTATTCATATTTTTTGTGGCCGTGCTGCCTTGTTCAGGGCCAACACCCAAGGAGTTGGGAGACCTTTCCGAGCTGAAGGAGCTTCGGTTGGGCCACAACCAGCTCACAGGTGTGAGTGAGACGAGGTGTTCTTGATTTTCCAAACATGTATCTCGCGCATGCGTAGGCGGGACGAATGTTCTAGAATCGAAGACACCGCACCGCAACTCTATCCATACAAGGAACCGTCAGGCCATGAGGGCAAAAGGCGGTTCCCCTACACCCAATCTCTCCCATCCCTCTCACAGAGCGAGGGCCTCCAACACGCGCACGCACGGATCAGTCCTCCAAGCGATCCACAACCTTCTGTGGGGTCTGTTGATACCCCGGCCCGATGGTCCGGAAAAGGGTTCGTGATCCGACCCCCTTCCCCCTGCGATCGTGCTGGCCTGGGCGTCCTTCCCTTGTGCACCTGATCTTGTCTCAAAGAGTACACGCAGCATAACAGTGGGAACACAACTTCGAGGGACTCTTCCTAAGTCGCAAGATATTCACGCATGCCGTTGAATAGCCCCGGGATGAGTGACGGCGTAAGAGAATTGGTCGTCCAACCCATCTCTTCTTCCCCCGGCAATACATTCCATCAAGATGTGACAAGTCAGTGAGTGATGGTGGTGCGTGTCCACCGCTCCATCTCCTCGCTGCTCGTTTATTTGACAAATTCTCTTGGGTCAGCGGGAGAACAAGGTGGTGTCCACCCACCCTATTTTTCGAACCATCTATCAATTCATATATTCTCAAACACGGACCATAATGTTCCAAACCGAGTCGTCCAGACTTTCTTTCGGCAACTTCTCTATGAGGATTGTACCGAGCGACGCTCGACCCCTCTCCCCAATATCCTGCTGTTTCCACCCTGAGTCCTTCGTAAGTTTTCGACGTTGACGGCAATCTCGCGTTCTTTCCAACGTGAAATCTCATCTGCGACAGTGTTCCTTTGACCAGGTATTTGCTTTGCCACGTGTTACCAACCGCAGGCGATTTCCATCCTTCCCATGAGTCTCATTCTGAGGCTCGCTTGCCTGTCGCGAGATCCGCCGCACCTGTTAGTCCAACTGACGGCCGACACGTTAACCCACGCATCAACACCAACTGCCCTTCTTCTACGGGCCTGTCGTTTAAGATCATTTGAACTACCCACGCCGTCATGAACATGCCGATCAGTTCTAACAGATTGATCGTTATGTCCGACGTTTCCCTCGCCTGTGTCTCGCGCTTGAGATCCGTCGATAAGGTTGGTTCAAGTGTGTACAGAAAGTCTCCAGTTTAGGGCAGTAGCCACTAATCGCTGTGAAGCTAGCGTCTGAGAGATAGAGGCTAGATGGAGTGCGCTTTACGTGGAGTAAGAACGATGCGCTGAGGGACTCCCCTCGAGGTGCCAGAGGCTGGCTTAAGTACCCACTTTCAGAAGGCAACATCGCCGTGGAACTCTCGACTCAGATCCACTAGTCTCCGAGACCGTGTGTGTCGACTGGCTTGAGTATGCAGCCCTGATAACCGGAGTAGCTGCCACACGAAATACCTGCCGGCTCTGATAACGGAAGTCAGGTTCCAGAGTTTCCCTGCCAGACTAAGGACTTCTTGAACGCTGGCCTGCTTTCGATTACCGGGCCATTCTGCTTCTAGGGTGTTTCTTATCGCCCTCACCCTGTCGGGAGTCGTTGCGATTCGGCCGCCGTGCGTGTCGATGGTGTAACCCAAGGCCTCAATGGCCGTACTCCAGTCAGTGCTCTTTTTCGGAGCGAGAATGGGTGTCTCTCCTACCTCTCCCGTGCAAAACAATTTGACGTGGTCTCAAGCAAAAGATGCTGGAGCAACGAGTGCCAATTGGTCGGTGGGATCATGTTGGACCTTCGTGAGCAGGAAATCTTCAACACATACCCTGGCCAAGGACTCTTCCGTGGGTCCCCCACATCGATGCGGTTGGACGTTTGCCAATGCTTAAAAAGGAGTTGGGCTCCCCTTTTGACATGAGACATCATCGCGACCCCTTCTGGGAGTAGTCGTGCGTTCGCGAGCGATGTGTTGCGGTGCGAGTGTTCTGCAGCTGAGGCCAGAACGCCCCATAATCCTGGTGACGCTGCCCAACCAAATGTCAGTCGGAGGTCCGCTACTAGCACGTCTCCTACCACATAGCAGAACTTGTGCGCGTGATCTGGTGATATCCTTACGTTTCGAAACGCAGAGGTAACGTCAGCCTTGGCCGTGAGTATTCTTTTGTCGGGCCATCTTACTCGTAGACTTGTGAGCTCCTCGAGGAAGCTGGCAATGCTTCACCGTAAAGGCAACGTGGTACTCCGGACATGATGGTATCTTGTTAAGTCCGCCTTTCGACCCCTTGCTTGTGCTTGGGTAAAACGTGAAATCATTGATGGTTCTTACTTTCTTCCCTGAAACCGCTCCCAACGGCGCTACCCTAATCCCGCGTGTGTCAGATGCGTTCGCCTTTCTCAGAACGATACATCTGTTACGCTTGACGTCGTCGCATAGCTTTTCCCACACTTGCGTTTGGTGATCGTCTACGCTACGGTGGTTGCCGGATGCCAGGGATTTTTTTAGGTTTTGCTCCGAGTTAACAGTGGGTGTCGGGGCGCGTTCCCCGACTATCTCTATGAGGTCATCGATACCCGTAAAACCTTTTTCGCCTCCGAAATACTGCTTGACATCGCTCACGTCCAACAGCGGTGACACCAAAGTGCCGCCGATTCCCCTCGCGACGTCTCCCAGCCTACCGTCATGGACTTATACCAAGTCGCTACCAATGTCCGCCATCTTCCGCATGATACGTTGTTTTTCGGCTAGTGTGTGTGAGCTGGATGCAAGCATGCTTCTCTACCCTGGAGGCTTTCGGTCAGCGTTTTTGATACTTAGTATTACCGAAGTGGTTTGCGTTCTTGGCCTCTCTATGGCCGAACGTTGTGACCCTGCCCCATTGCGAGAAGTCACTGATTTCGACCCGCTACCCTGTCGCTCAACGTTTGCGAGGTCGGTGACCCTAGCAGCGTCCACCGCTAGTGTCCTACTTGCCAAGGGTGCTCCCTCCGGGGTGTCCGCCACGTGGAAGTCTTTCGCCACGGTCTGGGTGTCCGCCAATTCCGAGTCTTCTTGGGTGTTTTTCCGCGAATGGTGTCCGCCATTCGGGTCTGTGTGACTAATAAAGTCCTACGCATGGTGTCCGCCCTATGTGTGTCCTTATGCACACTACTGGTGTCCGCCAGTATTTTTTCTTGACCGAACACGCTCGCGGCGTCCACCGCTTGCGTGCCGCGAGACCGATTGTATTCGCCTGGGGTGTCCGCCCCCGAGGCGTCTCTTCTCGCGGTATTGGTGTCCGCCAATTCCGTGTCTTTTTGTGTGGTTTCTTCGCGAATGGTGTCCGCCATTCGGGTCTGTATGCCTGATAAAATCTTACGCGAGGTGTCCGCCCTGTGTATGTCTTTATGCACGCTACGGGTGTCCGCCAGCGTTGTTTTCTGACCGAACGCGCTCGCGGCATCCGCCGCTTACGGGCCGCGGGACCAATTATAATCACCCGGGATGTCCGTCCCAGAGGTGTCTGCTTTGAATTTTCATCGCGTGTGGTGTCCGCCACATTCATCCTGGTGTTCGGGTCAAAGCAGTCATTCATCGCGCAATTGTTGTCCGCCAAAAGGTTTTCTGTTATTGTTTTTTTCCCATGGACAGCGTCCACCGTTCGTCGGTGTGTGCCTAATACTTGTTCACGTTGGGTGTCCACCCTACTTGTATCATATTGCACAAAATCGGTGTCCGCCGAGGATTGTTCGTTTACGGCCATCTTCGCGGTGTCCACCGCTTGTGTGCCTCCTGACCAATTCTTAGCGCCAAGGGTGTCCGTCCCCGGGGCGTCTACTTGAGATTTTTCAGCATGCGTGTCCGCCACATTGTATAATGAAAGTGAATCAAGACAGTCATTGGGCAAAGGGAATACCGCTTCGGAACGTTCGCTCTCACCATAAACCACTGTTGGTGCCGCCGACCCGGAAAAGAGAACTCCAGCACTCGCTACGGTCCTCCTGCTGTCTGCAAAGGCGACCGTGCCTGCTCCGAGCTCCCTATCCCCCTTCTTCGCCTCCACCTCAGGAAAAAGCCCCCCCCACCCGCCCAGGTTAGGTCCTTCGCGCCTTTCTCCGGTGCGCCTTCCGCCTCTTCCTTCTCCTCCTCCTCCTCCTCCTCCTCCTTCCCCGCCGCTTCCGTCGCTGGAACTCGTGACTGGTGCCTGGACCGCTCTCGGGGCGTGGGTTGCACGAGCAGACGGGGGGAGGGGGGTAGGGGGGAAGACAGAGACGGGCAGGAGAAACGGGTGGCGCTGGGTATGTCCCTTCGCACACCTGGGCCGAGTGCATTTCGTGCCCGACCACGAGGAGAAACACTCCCTGTCCGGGGTGTTCCAGTCGGTGGCAGACTGAGCAATAGCGAGCGAAGGCAGGCGCGCGAACAAGGACGGGGCAGCAGGCGTGCGAGGGTTTTTTACTGGTACTGTGGCCTAGCGTTTAATGCCGGCGACCGCCGTTTTCTGCTGCCGCTGGCGGGCTAGGCCCCCTTGAAGTAGACCTGCCATCGAACTGACAGTGCCCTCCGCCATTAAGAGCAACGTCCGTGTGAACTGCGGGATCTGGATCGCCCCCACCGTGTGGGGAGGGGGTGGGGCGAGAGAGTAGTATTGCCGGAGAGCTCTAGCTTTAGCGGTAAGGCTGCTGACGAAGTCGGCCCAGTCGAGATTGGCGTCTTGCCTGAATCTGGCGAAGACGTCGGCCTCGCGGCCCTTGAACTCGGCGAAGTGCCTAGAGGAGTAGCGACAGAGCTCCCCAGAGATCCGGAAGAGTTCCCTAAAGAACAGGTCAACTCTGACTTGTGCATCTAGCGAGGCTGCGACCATGCCATCCTTGATGAAGGCTTCCAGGACACAAACGAAGGTGTCGAAATGCACGTCGAATGGACGTGTCACGGCGACGACGCCCAGGGGGGGCGGTGGAGAAAACGACGCTATGTCGAGATGATGAACCACGGCGCATATTTCTCGCCGCTATCAAGTCACAAGAGACTCACGGCGCGATTCTTCTGACTGGGGTTGATGGGGGTGGGGGCTCTCAAGAGCAACATACCACGGGAATTGGTGCTGCGGCATGAGCAGCGGACCTCATCATCCACGTGAACCTGTCCCGGTTTGCTGATCTGGTCCGCCGCGTGGTCGACGTTCGGTTGGTAGACCCGCGGTAGCAGCTAAAGGTGAAAGAAGCGATGGAGGCTTGCCCGTCAGTGAGGCCAATGCTATTGACACTCACGGATCAACATAAGAGGTTTGTCAAGGCCGGAGAGGTGAGCAAAGACTACCTCAAGTTTCTGTGGCTTCGAGACATGGAATTGGGCCAGGCAAGCCAAGAGGCACCACGTCTGGAGATGAGCGAAGCAGACGTCGAGGTGATGGTGGATAGCTTTCTTGACCTTCGGCTCGTGTATCGAGTACGTGATGGTCAGCACGCCTTCGTGCCGGACCGCAACGTTGTCGCAAGCTGTCTCCCGAACAAAGCTGGTCCGGAGGTAGATCCAGGGAATATTTTAGAACTGGAGACGGCAAGTGCGATATATTTGCAGAAGCTGAAGCTTGTTGTGGCACATGCTGTGCCCCCGGGGCTAGTCCCTCGGGAGCTGGCGTGGTGTGGGCGCGGGGAGGGGCGTATCAACGCGTGCTGGAAGCGAGGCGTGTGTTTTGCGTTCAAGAACCACTTGATGTTGCTGAACGAGGTTCGCGCAGGGGGAAATGTGTTCGACGAGAGTCCGAGGACGGCTCTGCGACCAGGTTCACAAGCTTGTCAACGACCGCAAGTACGGGTTCCCCGGTCTTGGCCTCAACCGTAGTGGAGAGTCCGAAGACAGTTGTCTCTTCGGATGGTGACCACAAGGCTTTGGTGGAGCGTATCGGACGTCCTGAGGGATCAGGCGTTAAGTTCATGACGGATAGAAGCATTAGGCAGGACGCGGCCTTCCTACAGTGAGCACTCATGTGGCATGTACTGTTCGAATCCTTGTTGTGCGTACAACGTGATGCGTAACGTTAGGTGCCACGTACTCGAAAACGCGTGGTCAAACGTTGCCCGCAAAACACCCTGCCTACACTCCGGCTACTTGTACATCGTCCCGTGGTACCCATAAGCTCCGAGGTTGGGGGCAGACCTTCAAATGAGTGGATGCGAATCCTCGATGTAACGCGAGAGCCCTTCTGTTTCGTTGGAACGCGCAGGTGGCCGATCCCCCGCCTATTGTGCTTGCTCCCCGCCCCCAAGAGCGGGGCGAAGCCCCTTGAGGAGAAAGATGGGTCATTCGAGGAGTGGTCGGCCACCCTGCGGAAGTGGTGCCTCGGCGGGAAGAGGAAGGGCAAGGGGGTTGCGACGCGAAAGCTGCGGCTGTTCTTTCTCCGTACGACAGGAGCCTCGCCGAGTGAGGGCCCACAGGGCAAGGCTTCGAGGTGCGTAGGCCATCGACGCAGCGCACGTCACGCTGAGAGTACGTTCGCTTGTTGGAATATTTCAATTGGTTCACCCGTGTTCCCTTCTTGCCGTCGTATCGAGAGACTAATCGGTGTCGTAGGGTTGATATCTCATCATCGGTGGCCTGCAGGGCAGATGTCAGGTCTCAGGTTGAACACTTGCGTTGTTTCCCTGCCGATTATCAGTCATGTCACTTCGAATATTGCAGCTGGTTTTCACACCCTCTTTAATCACTGACCAGGTAACGGAATTGCTGAAATGGGCGAAGAAAGCGAAGCCGTTCGCGAAGGTAGGTCTGGCCCTCGCCTCAATCGCGCTCAGGGAGTGCACTGGCCTCGAATATCTGAGGCGGAGCTCGAGGCAACCCTTGGGACAGCAGCCGGCGGTGCCTTGTCCACGTTCGTCGAGGATTCACTGAACTCGAGCGTCGAGTCTGTAGCGAGCATCGCCGGGGAGAGACTGGACGGCGGTAGGGCGGAGGAGCTGCTCCAGGGTGCGGGAGCGCACAGATATAGGGCAGGTGAAGCAAATGTAGGCACTGGCAGTGGAAAAGAGGGTTTCGTCCTCGACAGACGTTGGGGAGTTTCAACCTTTATGAAGGTGGTCTCCACATTACCCCCCCCTTTTTCGAGGCTTCTTCTTGTTTGCTAGGCAAGAGAAGACTTCTTGGGGTAACCGGAGCCCGACCGGCTGGCGGCGAGTAGAACCACCTTTTTTCCAGCAATCTTCTGTGTGCGTGTGTGCGGGTGCGCCACTTCCGCCACGCATTGCCAGAAGTTTCGAGTTCGATAGACAGTGCATCATTGCTTGGCCCACCCTCCGTTTTTATTTTTTCCGTACTCCGGAAGAAAATTTGGTGAGCAGCGGGTTTTAAACCCATCCGTGTCTTTTGCAACCAAAAGCAGACACGCTGACATCTCTTCGTCGACGCCATTGTGGAAAAGAGGGTTTCGTCCTCGACAGACGTTGGGGAGTTTCAACGTTTATGAAGATGGTCTCCACATGGCGATATGTTACATTGGAGACTGCTGTTGGAAGTGGAAATGGTCTCAAAAACGTAAGGACTACAATTTTTGGCTGAACTTCCTCCGGTGTGATATGTGCTAGTCCGGTGCGTGCGTACATCCCAAAAAGTGAAAGGTAAGGCCCAGAGTACGTAGGACAACGTCGTACACCAAACCGTAGGTCTTTTGTGAGTGAACGTGGTGGAATCCTGCAAGCACGCGAACCTGGACATGCTTGCTTTTCTTGACATGCGTGACCCTGTTAAGCCTAAGAGGCCTTAGGCATGCTATGTCACGGCGGGGTTCGATCCCAAACCCTTGGACGGTGGTGCCCACCGTTGCACAGACGAGCACGGTCGATCCTCTTCGTCCGCCCTCTCAACCCACGTATGCTGTACCCTCCTATATCTAGGGATGGCCTTCCCCTGCGCAAGGGTTTGCCTACGAAACACTCAAGGAGGTTCAAGAGTTTCGAGGTGGATGGTATGCGGGGCAGGTCTCCATTCCCGAGCTTCGACGCCAAGATGAATCTCGTGGACAGGGGTGGGCGAGGAGAAGAGTGAGCGTGGGGAAGGACCAAGAACATTGACCAGTTCGCGGGTGCGTGAGCCAAGCTCGAGGCCGAGGTGTTGTGGTGTCCTTTCCTTCTCCCTTGAGAAGGACGCGCAGTCGAGGTCAACGGTTGTTCTCCGACCCTCGTGAATCCGGGCCGGCGTTCGTGTGGTGGCGTCGTCGATTGGTGGTGATGCATGAATTTGTCTCCGTATTTTCGACGTCTTCCAAAGGAGATGTCGGAGAAAAAGGCGTTCTGTGTTGGGATGACATGTCCATGGGATGGGCGATGGAGGTGCCCATCGGGGATTCAAACGGGGCAGGACGAGGTCGACGTCCAGGTCTACAAGATTTGGACCAGGCAAGCGTTATTCGGAGTCTCCTATGTTGCCTTCATCGTTGCTGGGATGCGAAGCGACAGATTGTGCTCGTTGGAGGGAGGTACATATACCCCGGCCTTGCAGAATAGCGATCAATGTTTCAGGCGAAAATGGTTGCTGGGAAAATCGGAGTGATGAGGTTCCCTGTGTATCCTTGGGTCTATGGTGATCTTGTGCTACGTTCCTTTCCTTGTCCTTGCTTGGCCTTGTTTCCCCGTTAGAGCAGCCACTAGTGGATAACCAAGAAGACGTATTTCGCGAAGATTCGTGACAGCAACGAGAGAGGCACGGAGAGAGGTTTGCTTCTGCTGAGTCGGTCCATCGAGGAAGAAATCCTGGACAACAAACGAAAAAAAAAGTACGTCGTTGCATTTCCTTGGTAGTTCCCGTGTGAGAAGGAGGGAATCATTTCGGCGAACGTTGGAGAGATTGCGTGCGTGGTGTTGTGTCGTTACACATTAAAAAACCTGTCCCATCTCTGCTGTGGTTGTAACTACCTTCGGGATGGGGCCTAATTAGAGGTTATGGGACCTTCCGAAAGGTCATCCCCACATTACTCCACCCTTCCCCCCCCCCCC